AAGAAAGACAGAGAGTTCAGCTTACTTACGCAAGAGAGGGACAGAGAGATCAGCTCTACTTACAAACAAAAGGACAGAGAGGCTCTACACTACAGAAGAGAGGGACGGGAAGCTCTATTACGACAAGAAGGGACGAGAGATTCGCTCTACTCTAAGACAAAGGACCTGTCTCTCAGAGAACAGGCTATGTGCACACTGCCCCACAAAATTAGGTAGAAACTGAGCAGCACTTCCTAACCTCCTGTCAAATGTATGACCATATTGGAGACACATATTTCCCTCAGATTCCCTCACAAAGAACTAAAAAAATAATCAAATTTTGATAAACTCATATCTATTGGCTGAAATACCACAGTGTGCCACCACAGCAGCATGATTTGTGACCTGTTGCCACAAGAAAAGGGCAACCAGTGAAGAACAAACACCATTGTAAATACAACCCATATTTGTTTATTTATTTTCCCTTTTGTACTTTAACTATTTGCACATCGTTACAACACTGTATATAGACATAATATGACATTTGAAATGTCTCTATTCCTTTGAAACCTGTGTGAGTGTAATGTTTACTGTTCATTTTTGATTGTTTATTTCACTTTTGTTTATTATCTATTTCGCTTGCTTTGGCAATGTTAACATACGTTTCCCATGCTAATAAAGCCCTTTGAATTCAATTGAATTGAATTGACAGAGAGATTCAGCTCTACTCTACAGACAAGAGAGAGACAGAGAGATTCAGCTCTACTCTACAGACGTGTGGTGTCATGTGATGTGAGGAGCTCCTGGCTCCAGTCATGCTTCAGGCTCACTGAACCACATCAGCCTGCCCCCCACCCCCCCCCACCCTATTCGCCGCTGTACCCTCTCTCCCTTCTCTCGGTCTCGTCGCTCTCCGTCCCCACTCTCTCACTTCTCTGTCTCTCACATCTCCCTCCCTCCCTCTCTCACTCTCTCTCTGGAGATCTCACCTCACTCCCTCCCCTCTTACCCTTCCCCTCCCTGTCTCCCCCCCCTATCTCGCCTCCCCACCACCTTCTCCCCACCTATGGTCAAACATCCCGAATCTCCGTCTCCACCCCCTCATCTTCCTCCCATCCCCCCTTCCCTCTCCCTCCCTCCCCTCTCTCCCCCTCCACCATCCCCCTCTCCCTGTCTCCCTCCCCCCTCTCCTCCTCCCCTCCCTCTCCTTCCCTCTCCCTCTCTCCCCCTTCCCCCCTCCCCTCCCTCCCTCCTCTCTCCTAAATATCTGTAGCCTGTCTGATCCCCAGGGTTTTGTTCTGTTTGTGCTAGTAAGAGCCTCTGGAGCCTCTGGCACTATACGTCTGACAATGACCTATTGACATCCTCTGAAGCAACAGACAGGATGTACACTTTATAAACAGCAGTATGTGGACACTGCTTCAAATTAGTGGATTCTATTTCAGCCACACCCGTTGCTGACAGGTGTATAAAATCGAACACACAGCCATGCAATCTCCACAGACAAACATTGGCAATAAAATGGCCTTACTGAAGAGCTCAGTGACTTTCAACGTGGCACCGTCATAGGATGCCACCTTTCCAACAAGTCAGTTCGTCAAATTTCTGCCCTGCTAGAGCTGCCCCGGTCAACTGTAAGTGCTGTTATTGTCAAGTGGAAACGCAGAGTGCTGAAGCGCGTAGCGTCTAAAAATCGTCTGTCCTCGGTTGCAACACTCACTACTGAGTTCCAAACTGCCTCTGGAAGCAACGGCAGCACAAGAACTGTTCATCGGGAGCTTCATGAAATGGGTTTCCATGGCCGAGCAGCTGCACACAAGCCTAAGATCACCATGCGCAATGCCAAGCGTCGGCTGGAGTTGTGTAAAGCTCGTCACCATTGGACTCTGGAGCTGTGGAAATGCGTTTTCTGGAGTTACGAATCACGCGTCACCATCTGGCAGTCCGACGGACGAATCTGGGTTTGGCGATGCCAGGAGAACGCTGCCTGCCCGAATGCATAGTGCCAACTTTAAAGTTTGGTGGAGGAGGAATAATGGTCTGGGGCTGTTTTTCATGGTTCCAGTGAAGGGAAATCTTAACGCTCCAGCATACAATTACATTCTAGACGATTCTGTGCTTCCAACTTTGTGGCAGCAGTGTCACGCCCTGGCTCTGGGGACTCTTATATGTTGAGCCAGGGTGTGGATTTTCTATGTTTTGTTTTCTATGTTTTTGGTTCTAGATCGTGTTGATCTATGTTGGCCAGGGTGGTTCCCAATCATAGACAGCTGTAGCTCGTTGTCTCTGATTGGGGACCATACTTAGGCAGCCTGTTTTCACTAGTTTATTGTGGGATCTTGTTCCGTAAGGTTTTGTGTATAACCTAGGAATTCACGTATCGTTTGGTTTATTGTTTTGGTTCGTGTGCAGTACGGTAAATAAAGTATGTACGCTTATCACACTGCGCCTTGGTCCGCTTCATCTGTCGACGAACGTGACAAGCAGTTTGGGGAAGGCCCTTTCTTGTTTCAGCATGACAATGCCCCTGTGCACAAAGCGAGGTTCATCCAGAAATGGTTTGTCGAGATCGGTGTGGAAGAACTTGACTGGCCTGCACAGAGCCCTGACCTCAACCCATTCGAACACCTTTGGGATGAATTGGAATGCCGACTGCAAGCCAGGCCTAATCGCCCAACATCAGTGCCCGACCTCACAAATGCGCTTGTGGCTGAATGGAAGCAAGTCCCTGCAGCAATGTTCCAACATCTAGCGGAAAGCCTTCCCAGAAGAGTGGAGGCTGTTATAGCAGCAAAAGGGGGACCAACTCCGTATTAATGCCCATGATTTTGGAATGAGATGTTCGACGAGCAGGTGTCCACATACTTTTAGTCATTATAATGTAATCACTATAAACACAATGCAGACTGCAGGCCTATTTATTAGCTATTGGGTTTGATTTATTCTTGTTAATATTGTTTTATTTCTCTCTTATATGTTTATGTTATGTTCATGTTTATGGCCAGAGGTTTGACCCTTGGCCTAGAGCCACCAGTGTGAAATAGGCCTGCGGCCTAAATGCCTTATGTTTAGGCCTGTCTGGTGCCTACTTGTAGGCCTATTGCCGGCTATGTGGACTGATGCATGCTATTTTCAACACAGAATTTGACAATTATTTGAGTTTAACCGGATTTTGAAACAACAATTAAATATATTGTGTATTTAATTCTGGCATAATGGCAGTGAAGCAGCAGCCGTTACCCCACTACCTTTAGGACCTAGTGGAGACACTATCCGTCCGCTGGCCTCTGCAGTGTGAGCCGAGCATCTGGCGGAGTGCTGGCCGGCTGGCGAGGTGGAGGACGGGGAGAGAAGAAGAAGGAGGATCCGGGAGCAAGCGACAACAAAAAGGGTCTGGCCTGGGACTTGGCAAAACGGGGTAATGAACACCGTGATTCACTCGTTTAAAAACCATAGCCCGTTATTACCAAACCCTCTGTAGGGGTAACCTTTATCGGAACACACACAGTCAGTGAGAGCCCTCAGAACGGAAGGAAGACTGGCTTCACTCGATGGTAGTGGTGGGGGGAAACAGTATGCCTTTTTGTGCTTTTGCAGATGTGGTGACTGACTGGTGATTATAGACATTGCGATACTCAGTTGAACTTGGTGACCGCGTATTTGTACATACAGAAAGGCGATTGTTTCTACAGAATACCCGCCGTCTGAAAATAACAGGGTTTTATCCATCAAATGGTTGTGGCCTATAAACGGGGTACAGTCCCACCGGGTTAGATGCTGATTTCCCCTTCAAATACGTGTAAGACTTTGTAATTTAAGCCTTCAATAGTGACAAATGCAGGTGACCGCCAAACATGTGTTATATGATAAAGTTGTTAATTCAATCAAAATTGTTATAGTGTATGATATTTGTGATTTTTGCTGACAATGGAACAATAGGTCGTGACATTGTATTCACAAATATATATTTAAAAAGTAACACGTTTTGTAGCTGCAATATCATTTCCCGCAACATTTTTCTCTTCCCACGAACAAATCGAAACATGCATTTACACTTTAACAATAGTAATAGGCTACATTTACCAATATGTTTAGATTGATATGAACTATCATTCAGATGTTCTAAATGGCGCATTAATGCAACATTTGTATCAATGTGTCAGAAAGTCTGCCTGTCTGTGCGCGTGGGTGAAAGTGTGGCTCGAGCACTTTACCCCCGGCAGTTATCGGTAGACGGTATACACTATAGTACTAGCTAGTGGAAATGGGGGCAATAACCAAAACACCAAGGACGTTTAGCCTTAATCAAGACTAGGCCTATATCACAAGCCTTCTGGAAAAATCTATGAAAAATCTAACATTGACCATCAACATTGATACAGGCCTGTAAGCTAGGCTAGGCCTTGCATGTAGCCAGCAGTCTGCAAAGGAGTAAGTCCAGTTTGACCACAGGTGGTGGGCTATAATGAAAATCTAATCTGCATGTTGACTATTATATGCATAATGCATAAATACCGGTAATAGTTTATTCGATAACGCCATATAGCCCTACGAGCCTACAGTTGTGTTATATTGTGTGAGAGAAACTGGATAAATTAGAGAGAACTGACACTATTTCAGCATGCTTAAAATGTATTTCTAACTAGTAAAGGCAAAACTTGAGGAGACGGCATGTAACGCCATGGACAATTTGACCATAGTATGCCCTACTTTTGCCTGATCAGATCACTGCAGGCATAGGAGAGAGACTGGGATTCATTGAATCCGTTGTGTAGGTAGAATCATGTTCAACTTAACACAAAAACTAAGGAATAATAATGATATTGTAATAATATGTATACTATTATAATAAATAGCTGTATTGACAGTTTTTCAGCGTTCATGATTATATTTGTTGTTCTTCATTTTGCAGGTTCATCGAAGGGTCATCATTTTTTTGTTCCTTTGATTTTATTTCTCATATTTGAAGCTTCTTCTGATTTCCATTGAGAATATCATCCATACGATTTGCACTCTTGGCGATGCCGTCCAACACTGTTGCCACCACCAACACCGCTGCATTCCAAAGCTTAGACTACACCTGTGATGCACCTGGGAACAGAATGGTAAGAAACTAACAGCTATGGAAAACAAAACTACTGTCATTAAAGCACTGTAATGTTTTGTTACTGTGTTATTACGTTATAACAGTGTGTTTTACAATGTTATTATAACATGTTATAGCCATGTTTGATCAGAAATCTTATCATTGAGTTATTTTGCACAATTTATCTGAACCACTGGGTCATTGATTTCCATAATTTCCATACCAGAATAAACATAAAGCAGGTACACCCATCAGATGTTTCCATTGTATGTAAGGTTTCATATGAATCTATACGCTATACAGTTATGCTATAAACATCATAAAATGTTATGCTGGGTTACTATAAGTTAGACACCCATTAGCTACATTAACAACCGTGACAACTGCTGACGTGAAAGGGGCTTTATAAATACATTTGATCGATTGCGTTACATTATCGATAACAACATTACAGTGTTCTCTCTAATTGTGCCTGTTAGAATGGTGGCAGTGGTTTGTTACTGTGACGTGGGGCGTTGGCTGTTGTATCTAATGCTGAGCCAGCCGGGCAGTTGCTGCTGCTGAAACTGCTCTCTCTATGTGTTATACTGGGACATTTATCCTCCTCGCTCCTCTACTACGCTCTCTGTCACACTGCCCGCCCAATGTAGTCCTGTTGCTAAGCAACAACCATTGCCTTAAATAAACCGACTGCCGATGGAAATTGTGCCAGAGATATCAAATAGTGCCAGAGTGTGTTATAGGGTTCACACGAAAGGCAATAACAAATAGTCTTTGTATTTTATGCCATCTATTGTTTAAAGAATTAGCATTTTCACGTCTTTTAGTAATGCGTTATAATGGTATGTTGTGTTTCATTGAAAATGTTGAGGATTTTGACAATACAACAGAAGGTGACTTGTCCATGGAATCAGACAGCACTGAATTGTGTCAGTAGTGGCGGACTGGCGGTGTCTCCAAACGAAGCATGATTTAAGGCTGCATATAAAACATTCCGTATTCTAGAATTCCGCCCTTGCGGTTACCTCGTTTCCATGCTCCATGAGTTTTGTAATTTGGTGACATGGGGGTTGGTGACTGCTCATCCTGTATAGAGTAGCACTAGGAGAGGCCATGCAGTACCAATACTCCTGTGGTTGAGCCAGCCTAAACCAGGCACTAGGAGTTTTGTCCCAAATGGCACCCTATTCCCTATGTACTGTAGTGCACTCCTTTTGATCAGGGCCCATAGGGCTCTGGTAAAAAATAGTGCACTTTGTAGGGAATAGGGTGCCATTTGGGATGCAGACGTAGATAGGAGAAGGAGGAGAAGGGAAATCACTGCTGTAGAAATAAACAACAGATAATTAAAATGTACAGTCAGATAATCGTATCAATCTTATATAAGGAGGAGATTAGATTTGGAATGTGAATGATTGAAATATTGCAAATAAACCCAAGTCTCACCCACATCATATAAAAGGTCAATGGATCCATGTACTAGATAGTAGATTTACTACCAATAATGTGACTCCATAATATGACTGCCTTTAAAAAGCCCAGGCTGTTTGTCATCGGCAGCTCCCAGTAGCTCCCACCTCGTGATGCTGATAGCTGGTTGCTAAGCAGGATTTGGTCTGCCTCAATTAATTGTTCAAGCTTGTCTCCCTTCATAGCCCCACAACAGACTCAGTAAGACACTCAGTCAGTACATGTTATTCAGTCAATGTTGAACCCCAGGGCCTTTATTCTAGGATCAGGTCCCCTTGGTCCATATCACCTTATTCATTATGATCTACAAGGCAAAACGGATCCTAAATCAGCACTCTGAGACGCTCTATAGAAGCAACTACATTAGTATTATTATATTTCCCATCAACCCCAGGGGTGATGCGTCGGGGTGGACAGAAAGCTTTGTCTTAGAGGGAAGGCAATGTGCAGGATGGGGTGTACACACATACACACACAGTGTCTTTGTAACAGTGTCATTAGGGAATGTGTCTCGGTGAGGTCAGGCTCTGGTAGGAGCTATAGTTGTCCCGCACTGAAAGGGACATGTCAATGACATCCCATTTGTCCCATTGTCTGTCTCCATCGTAAAGCGGAACAGGATGGAGACCTATTGAGAGACCCTAAACTGTTCAACAGTTGGAGTGGATAAATACTGTATACTGTTACACTACAATTAGAATCACATTACACATTCACACTGCCTGTCAATCCTATAGGTGATGCTTACTATGCATTTCCTGTGAACTTGCGATTCTAAACTGTTCATGTGAGGTTGTGAAGAGTTGGAATGTATAGTGTTTACAGTAGAGCTATACAGGGAATTCAGGGTACAATTTTAGCGTCAAAGTTGACACATTAGATTAGCAAGTTGTGGGGACTGATGTCACATTTTGGTTGGTTTGTGAACTTGTGATTCTACCTGACTCTACTTTGATTTTATATGATTCTACCTGATTCTACTGTGATTCTATCTGATTCTACTGTGAATCTACTGTGATTCTACCTGATTCTACTGTGATTCTTCCTCATTCTACTGTGATTATATCTGACTCTACTGTGATTCTACCTGATTATACTGTGATTCTACCTGATTCTTCTTTGATTCTATCTGATTCTTCTATGATTCTACCTGATTCTACTGTGATTCTACCTGATTCTTCATATGAGATTGATAATATTGTGTTGCGTGGTTGTTTGACAGAGGGAGAGCACGATACTGGACAAGGAGCTGGTGCCAGAGGAGAAACCAGCTAACAGCAACACCACCTGTAAAGAGGGCCAGCCTGCTGGGAGGAAACACAAGCAGATACCTGTGAGTAGATTATTTGTAATAATATATTTATTGGACTTTTCACAACCATCAATCAACAAACAAACAGTGTCAGAAACACTGGCATGCAGACCTGAAGGCTACACACACATTGTAGGTTTATTGTAAAACTAGCAGAATATACAATTTGTGGTAGGGGAAAACACTGTGTCGGAGGCTGGGTGAATCTCAGAGTTCTCTTGCGTCACTATTGACCTTAAGCATTGAGTCACTAGGCAGGATTCCATTGACCCAGGTTTATTCTACAAAAGCAATGTTGCAAAAAATATAATTGCGACATATGTAATGGAAACAGCAGATATAGAAGACATTTTCTAAAGATCGACAACATTTTTATCCGTTCGACAGGGGTGGTTTTATCTTTTGTCGAACTTTCTTTATTGCAACAAATGATGATGTAAACTAAATTTGAAGGTACACGGTGTACGTGATGTCATCAGCTAGTCCTAGCTATAAAGCTCCACTCCACATTTCATTCTAAATGCCTACTGCTTGCAAAATAAAAAAATTCAACTATAACAATAATGCTCCTTTGCAGGACAAGAATTGTCCTGACTTTCAAGAATGCCTGAATTGCTTCGCCTTGCTTTTCTGGTTGGCTGGCAAGTTTCACCATCCAATTATTTCAAATCTACAGGAGTGCAAGTTTCACCATGGCGATACGTTGGCACATGATAATTATTAGAATATGGCTATTATTAGTTAATTATTGCATTCTATCCATGCTGGCTTTCACAGGCTACCCGAGACATGAAACAGAGAGGTGGGAGGGCATACAGGCTGTCGCCAATGTATTATTTGGCATTTTGCCTAAATGGATAATGGAAACACTTCAACCACTACATTTTTATCCGACACTGTAGGTAATTTTTTAGGTGTGACGTCATTACATCCAGCTGTTTTGATCGACGCGGTAGTTAAATGGAAACACACCCTAGCAGGAAATTGTCGCATCTATTTTCTATGCGAACTTTCTAAATGTCAACAAAGAAAACACTTGACAAGTTAATGGAGACAAAGCTAGCGAGTCTGTAAATGGAGTTCATTACATTTTACATTTGAGTCATTTAGCAGACGCTCTTATCCAGAGCGACTTACAGTTAGTGAGTGCATACATTTTCATACTGGCCCCCCGTGGGAATCGAACCCACAACCCTGGCGTTGCAAACACCATGCTCTACCAACTGAGCTACACAGGACTAATGTTTCACGTTTCATCTCACTGAAATTGACCAATTAGCCAGGGTAGTTCATCTCACTGAAACTGACCAATTAGCCAGGGGAGTTCATCTCACTGAAACTGACCAATTAGCCAGGGTAGTTCATCTCACTGAAACTGACCAATAAGCCAGGGTAGTTCATCTCACTGAAACTTACCAATTAGCCAGGGGAGTTCATCTCACTGAAACTGACCAATTAGCCAGAGGAGTTAATCTCACTGAAACTGACCAATTAGCCAGGGTAGTTCATCTCACTGAAACTTACCAATTAGCCAGGGGAGTTCATCTCACTGAAACTGACCAATTAGCCAGAGGAGTTAATCTCACTGAAACTGACCAATTAGCCAGGGTAGTTCATCTCACTGAAATTTACCAATTAGCCAGGGGAGTTCATCTCACTGAAACTGACCAATTAGCCAGAGGAGTTAATCTCACTGAAACTGACCAATTAGCCAGGGGAGTTCATCTCACTGAAACTTACCAATTAGCCAGGGGAGTTAATCTCACTGAAACTGACCAATTAGCCAGGGGAGTTCAGCTGGTCAATCAACACACAGTGCAGTGACAACTACCAGTGTTAAGAAATATATGGAGACTTTGATATTGAATGTCTGAAAGTTTGATGTTGAAATATTGAATACTTTGATAAATAAAAAACATAGGTAGTCCTCTAACAGTAGTCATGAATATGGTTCATTTTTAATATGGTTCATTGTTAATATGGTTCATTGTTAATATGGTTCATTGTTAATATGATTCATTTTTAATATGGTTCATTAAACAAAACAAGCATATATTCAGTATATGTGGCCAATGTGTTTTTTTTAGCATCATTTTGTTATTCTTGGAGTTGTAAACGTTAACACCAATGAAGTTTTCTGATCTTTCCATGGCTGTCTGTGTTGACTTACTCTCATCTCGATGTACACCTTCGGAACAGTAGTAGTCAGACCAGACCTTGTAACTTTTTCAATGTTGTTACTTACAGCCATTTTTTTCCCCTGCTCAATCTCAACCACAATACTCTATAATGACAAGAAGCTATTGGCACACCTTGGGCACCACCTGTATTTTGGGGGTTTTCCTCTCCCAATTTTCTCTGTTTCAGATACCCTCTCAAGCTCTGCTCCGGTTTCGATGGGGAGCGTCGCTGCACAGCTATTTTCAGTCTCTCAGGGATTTCGATCGTGTTCAAGTTGGCTGGTCTCTGTTGCTGGGCCACTCAATCTTGTCCTGTGGTTTGTGTTTGCACTGTGGACGTCACGTCGATTTGTTGTTTTGTTGTGTATCATTATAATAGATTTACTTCACGCTGCCCTTGTCCTCTATATCCGACATCGTGCCACTTTATGCCGATCCATCTAGTACTTGGCTGTTGGTGCTTAGGGTCGTTGTTTCCCATTCTTGTTGGCAAGGTTGGGGGAACCTTTTCGCCGATCCAGTCTGGGCTCACTAGCGCGTCTGCGGTCAGTGTTTTCAAGTCAAGGATCTCTCATGTACTTTGCTCCGTTCATCTTTCCCTCGATCCTGACTAGTCTCTCAGTCCCTGCCGCTGAAAAACATCCCCACAGCATGATGCTGCCACTGTAGGATGGGGCCAGGTTTCCTCCAGACGTGACGCATGGCATTCAGGCCAAAGAGTTCAATCTTGGTTTTATCAGACCAGAGAATATTGTTTCTCATGGTCTGAGAGTCTTTAGGTGCCTTTTGGCAAACTCCAAGCGGGCTATCATGTGCCTTTTACTGAGGAGTGGCTTCCGTCTGGCCACTCTACCATAAAGGCCTGTGTCACGGTTTCGGCCGAGGCTGCTCCTCCTCCTGGTTCGGGCAGGCTTCGGCGGTCGTCGTCCCCGGAGTACTAGCTGCCACCGATCTATGTTTCATGTTCGTTTGGTTTTGTCTTGATGTTGTACACCTGTGTCTTGTTAGTCCTCGTTAGTGTCCTATTTAGTTCTCGTTGGTTGTGTTTGTCTTTGTGTGATTGCGCTTCTGTTTTCGTGTTGGAGCTACGTACTTCCCTCCAGTGTTTTTGGAGAGGTGTTTTCGCACATGTTAGTGCGCCGTTTATTTGACGCCTGTGTGCGCCGTGATTTCGCCTTCGGGCTTATTGTGCTTATTTCCAACGTGAAAATTGACACTAAAGTCTTTGACTGAGCCTCTGCGTCCTGCGCTTGATTCATGCACCACACCCACCTTCAGCACCCCTGACAGCCTGATTGGTGGATTGCTACAGAGAGGGTTGTCCTTCTGGAAGGTTCTCCTATCTCCACAGAGGAACTCTGGAGCTCTATCAGAGTGACCATCGGGTTCTTGGTCACCTCCCTGACCAAGGCCCTTCTCCCCCGATTGCTCAGTTCTAGGAAGAGTCTTGGTGGTTCCAAACTTCTTCCATTTAAGAATGATGGAGGCCACAGTGTTCTTGGGGACCTTCAATGCTGCAGAAATGTTTTGCTACCCTTCCCCAGATCTGTGCCTCGACACAATCCTGTCTCGGAGCTCTACGGACAATTCCTTCAATCTCATGGCTTGGTTTTTCCTCTGACATGCACTGTCAACTTTGGGACCTTATATAGACAGGTGTGTGCCTTTCCAAATCATGTCCAATCAATAGAATTTACCACAGGTGGACTCCAATCAAGTTGTAGAAACATCTCAAGGATGATCAATGGAAACAGGATGCACCTGAGCTCAATTTCGAGTGTCATAGCAAAGGGTCTGAATACTTATGTAAATAAGATATTTCGGTTTTTTATATTTAATGCATTTGCAAAAAATGTCAAAAAACCTGTTTTCAATTTGTCATTATGGGGTATTGTGTGTAGATTGTTGAGGACATTTTTTTATTTAATCCATTTTAGAATAAGCTGTAACGTAACAAAATGTGGTAAAGGTCAAGGGGTCTGAATACTTTCCAAATGCACTGTGTGACCTCTGTGACCTTTGGCAGGGGCCAGTTGTAGGTCACTGGGTCAATGGTCATTGGGTCGTGTTTTGTAACACCCTGGTGCTGACAGAAAGTGTTGCATCTTTCACTGTGACTTACTCTCTCTCTCACTCTCTTTCTCACTCTCTCACTCTCTCTCTCTCTGTATCTCACTCTCTCGCTCACTCTGTCTCTGTCTCTCACTCTGTCTCTGTCTCTCACTCTCTCTCTATCTCACTCTGTCTGTCTCACTCTCTTTCTCACTCTGTTTCTGTCTCTCACTCTCTCGCTCACTCTGTCTCTCACTCTCACTCTGTCTCTGTCTCTCACTCTCTCTCACTCTGTCTCTCTTCTTCTCACGATGTTTGTGTGAAAACTATCCTTTTCTTCTTACGTCAGTGAGAAATCAGTAGAATTTGCTTTCAGAACACTTCTCTGAAAATAGCTTGACAATAACAGTGGACATGTTTTAGTTCTACTCCGTCCACATAGCTGTATAATTAGGATTGGCTGCTCTAAAGAGCCTCTAAGGAATGCCTGAAAATAAGCAGTCATTAGTCTGATATAATAAAATCATTTTGCACAACATCCTCCATTTGACGTTTCATGTTCTAAAGTCTCAGATCTCTTGTCTCATTAGGCATTAGACTGTTACCAACAGAATCAGATGTACATACTACACCTGTCTCTGTCTCTGTCTCTGTCTGTCTGTCTGTCTGTCTGTCTGTCTGTCTGTCTGTCTGTCTGTCTGTCTGTCTGTCTGTCTGCCTGCCTGCCTATCTGTATGTCTGTCTTTCTCTCTCTGTCTCTGTCTTTCTTTCACTCTGCATCTGTCCATCCGTCCTTCCGTCTGTCTGAGACGATGGACGCTTCAGACATGATGTTGTCAGTGTTGACAGACAGGGCAATCTCATCTCACTACTAGACATGCTCTACTTTCCATTGCTGTGACCTAGTAATGGAATTGTCTCCAAATTGCTTTTTAACACTATTTTTAGGCAGCAGTCTCTAGCAGAGACACTGTGGAGAAAAGATCGCTCCCCCACCAGCTCACATTTCGTCTACTTCAAACATTTTGAAAGGAGTTGAATTCATTTTCTAGGTCACTAAAAAGAGGTGTAAATCTTGTGATCAACATGTTATATGTGATACTTGACATGTGATTTGTATACAGTTGAAGTCGGAAGTTTACATACACTTAGGTTGGAGTCATTAAAACCCACAATTCCAGTGGGTCAGAAGTTTACATACACTAAGTTGACTGTGCCTTTAAACAGCGTGGAAAATTCCAGAAAATGATGTCATGGCTTTAGAAGCTTCTGATAGGGTAATTGACATCATTTGAGTCAATTGGAGGTGTACCTGTGGATGTATTTCAAGGCCTACCTACTCAGTGCCTCTTTGCTTGACTTCATGGGAAAATCAAAAGAAATCAGCCAAGACCTCAGAAAAGAATTTGTAGACCTCCACAAGTCTGGTTTATCCTTGGGAGCAATTTCCAAACACCTGAAGGTACCACGTTCATCTGTACAAACAATAGTACGGAAGTATAAACACCTTGGGACCACGCAGCTGTCATACTGCTCAGGAAGGAGACGTGTTCTGTCTCCTAGAGATGAACGTACTTCAGTGCAAATCAATCCCAGAACAACAGCAAAGGACCTTGTGAAGATGCTGGAGGAAACAGGTACAAAAGTATCTATATCCACAGTAAAACGAGACCTATATCGACATTACCTGAAAGGCCGCTCAGCAAGGAAGAAGCCACTGCTCCAAAACCGGCCATAAAAAAGCCAGACTATGGTTTGCAACTGCACATGGGGACAAAGATCGTACTTTTTGGAGAAATGTCCTCTGGTCTGATGAAACAAAAATAGAACTGTTTGGCCATAATGACCATCGTTATGTTTGGAGGAAAAAGGGGGAAACTTGCAAGCTGAAGAACACCATCCCAACCGTGAAGCACGGGGGTATCAGCATCATGCTGTGGGGGTGCTTTGCTGCAGGAGGGACTGGTGCACTTCACAAAATAGATGACATTATGAGGAAGGAAAATGATGTGGATATATTGAAGCAAAATCTCAAGACATCAGTCAGGAAGTTAAAGCTTGGTCGCAAATGAGTCTTCCAAATGGACAATGACCCCAAGCATACTTCCAAAGTGTGGCAAAATGGCTTAAGGACAACAAAGTCAAGGTATTGGAGTGGCCATCACAAAGCCCTGACCTCAATCCTATAGAACATTTGTGGGCAGGACTGAAAAAGCGTGTGCGAGCAAGGAGGCCTACAAACCTGACTCAGTTACACCAGCTCTGTCATGAGGAATGGGCCAAAATTCACCCAACTTATTGTGGGAAGCTTGTGGAAGGCTACCCAAAACGTTTGACCCAAGTTAAACAATTTAAAGGCAATGCTACCAAATACTAATTGAGTGTACAGTCGTGGTCAAAAGTTTTGAGAATGACACAAGTATTGGTCTTCACAAAGTTTGCTGCTTCAGTGTTTTTAGATATTTTTGTCAGATGTTACTATGGTATACTGAAGTATAATTACAAGCATTCCATAAGTGTCAAAGGCTTTTATTGACAATTACATTAAGTTTATGCAAAGAGTCAATATTTGCAGTGTTGACCCTTCTTTTTCAAGACCTCTGCATTCCACCCTGGCAATTAACTTCTGGGCCACATCCTGACTAATGGCAGCCCATTCTTGCATAATCAATGCTTGGAGTTTGTGGGGTTTTGTTTGTCCACCCAGTCCAATCCCTGAGCAAGCTCTGCACTGGTGGTGGCGCTTGCTGGACTTTCTTGGGCGCCCTGAAGCCTTCTTCACCACAATTGAACCTCTCTCCTTGAAGATCCGATAAATGGTTGATTTAGGTGCAATCTTACTAGCAGCAATATCCTTGCCTGTGGAGACCTTTTTGTGCAAAGCAATGATGACAGCACATGTTTCCTTGCAGGGAACATTTTAGTCATTTAGCAGACACTATTATCCAGAGCAACTTACAGTTAGTGAGTGCATACATTATTTTTTAATTTTATTTTTCATACTGGCCCCCCATGGGAATCGAACCCACAACCAACTGAGCTACATCCCTGCCGGCTACAACAGAGCCTGGATTCGAACCAGGCTTTCTAGTGGCACAGCTAGCACTGCGATGCAGTGCCTTAGACCACTGCGCCACTTGGGAGAACATGGTAACCACCCTCCTTTTAAAGCTTCCAGTCTGTTATTCTACCTCAATCAGCATGACAGAGTGATCTCCAGCCTTGTCCTCGTCAACACTCTCACCTGTGTTAACGAGAGAGTCACTGACATGATGGCAGCTGGTCCTTTTGTGGCAGGGCTGAAATGCAGTGGAAATGTTTTTTGGGGGATTAAGTTCATTTTCATGGCAAAGAGGGACTTTGCAATTAATTGCAATTCATCTGATCACTCTTCATAACATTCTGGAGTATATGCAAATTGCCATCATAAAAACTGAGGCAGCAGACTTTGTGAAAATTAATATTTGTGTCATTCTCAAAACATTTGACCACGACTGTATGTAAACTTCTGACCCACTGGGAATGTGATGAAAGAAAAAAAATCTGAAATAAATCATTCTCTCTACTATTATTCTGACATTTCACATTCTTAAAATAAAGTGGTTATCCTAACTGACCTAAGACATGGAATTTTTACAAGGAGTAAATGTCAGGAATTGTGAAAAACTGAGTTTAAATGTATTTGGCTAAGGTGTATGTAAACTTCCGACTTCAAATGTATGTACTTATCTTAAAAGAGTAGAGGCATGCCTGGTGATATAGATATACGATTTTATAGATTTACAATGTAGTTGAATCACGCCCAAATAATCCCAGCCAGATAATCTTGTTTGGCTGTGCTATGGGGTCATTGGGTTGGATAATATCTGTTCTTCTGCTGAAACAGAGAATAGTAAATACTTCTCTTTACAGAATGAAATGGTTTCCAGGGGCGAGTCCCACGTCAATAAAATAAAATATTTCCTGCCTTTGACAAAAAGCCAACATTCCTCTCATATTTCTGCGCTACTGTAATGCAGTGAATAACTCTACAAATGAGTTACAGCACACAAACAATGTCCAGCGAATTCACAGGGTTTCTGACTGTAACACTTTCAATGCTGGATAATACAGTAATCTACATGAGGTTATTGGTATGGTCAATACAGTTCCTGTATCATGTTTAGAACTACAATGGTTATAGGAGGGAGGCTGACAGGACCTCAGGCTATTGAAGCATGAGAAACAAATATACTGAATTGTGCATTTCATTCAAATAAAGGTTAAAGTGATGCAGTGGAACTTAAACAAAATAGTTGTACTAAAGGCTAACTGCTTATAGAATAAAAATTACTCAATTATCCCTAAGGGGAAATGTGTAAAAATGGCTAACAACGTGAAGTGATTGCCAATAATATCCACTCCAATATAATCTTCCTAATATCTTATCTCCTTCCTTTACCTGCAGGCGGAGGGCAGTGTGTCTGTGAAGGACAGTGTGGCCAGAGGCGGGGGCAACAGTCGCACCGGGGTGGCAGCGGAGAGAGAGAGAACGTCTGTGTCTGTGGCGCAGGTGCACAATGGAGACGTGAGCAGTGGGCACGCAGACAGAGACAGAGACAGGACCCAGGCTGATGCCAGCGGCTGCCCCAAGCAAGAGAGGAAAGCTCCAGAGAAGAACGGGTTACCAGGTGCCCCTGGTTCCCCCAGTGCCCCTGCCAGTCAGGCTGAAGAAGGCCCCCCCGGACTCCCCACCCTCCTGGGTCAGAGCCGGAGCCTGAGCCCCCCCTCCCTGGAGAACAGGTTTCTAGTGAGCCGGAAGCTGAGCCGGGAGCCGAGCTGGGAGCCGAGCCGGGACGACTCTGACAAAGACAAAGAGGAGACTCTGACAACTCCGCCACGCAAGAAACGAGGCAGGCGGAAACTGGAGCGCCCAACAAAATGTGAGTCTTGACTCCTGCTTGGTTACATGACATTCTTCATTCTCACTACATTCCTGGCACAGCCAGCTCTGCACTGGTAGAACTGACGGGCAATGCCAAGTGAATAAAAATGAACAATGTATGGTTTCTCCTTGAATGCTGTGGCCATTTTGAATTATTCTTTCGGTTGTGTTCAGTGTGGATGAATTTAACACAGTAATGTAGAAAATGTTAAATAAACAAAAGATAGTAACAGTGTAAAAAGCTTTAAATAGATCTAGAAACAGTGACCCTGGTCACGGTCACCTCTTCTCTCCCTTCTCAGAGGGCAGCCAGGCTATGACCTCCTTGTCCCTCTCCCACCCTCCCTCCCCTTTTGCCCCCAGAGAGAGCGTTAGTGAGAGAGAGAGAGAGATAGGGGGGGGGGGGGGAGAGGAAAGCTCCAGTTCCCTGTCAACCTGCCTACCTGCCCCTGTTCTGTTCTGTTCTGTTGGGGCCGTGTTTGTGTGTGGGTATGTGCGTGTGTGTGTTGTGTGTGTGTTGTGTGTGTGTTGTGTGTGTGTGCCCCTGTTCTGTAGGTGCCGTGCTCAGAACAGAGCTCATGCTAGGCTCAGGGAGACAACAGGTGTGTGTTGTTGTTGTTGTTGTTGTTGTTGTTGTGGCCTGTGCTCTATGTGTGTGTGTGTGTGTGTGTTGTGTGTGTGTCTCTGTCTCTGTAGGGGGCACAACAGGTGGATGGCACACAGCAGAGACGCACTTACACTCTCTATTAACCTGACACACACACACACACACACACACACACACACACACACACACACACACACACACACACACACACACACACACACACACACACACCCACACCCACACCCACACACACACACACACACACACACAGTGGGGAGAACAAGTATTTGATAAACTGCTGATTTTGCAGGTTTTCCTACTTACAAAGCATGTAGAGGTCTGTAATTTTTTATCATAGGTACACTTCAACTGTGAGAGACGGAATCTAAAACAAAAATCCAGAAAATCACATTGTATGATTTTTAAGTAATTAATTTGCATTTTATTGCATGACATAAGTATTTGATACATCAGAAAAGCAGAACTTAATATTTGGTACAGAAACCTTTGTTTGCAATTACAGAGATCATAGGTTTCCTGTAGGTCTTGACCAGGTTTGCACACACTGCAGCAGGGATTTTGGCCCACTCCTCCATACAGACCTTCTCGAGATCCTTCAGGTTTCGGGGCTGTCGCTGGGCAATAAGGACTTTCAGCTCCCTCCAAAGATTTTCTATTGGGTTCAGGTCTGGAGATTGGCTAGGCCACTCCAGGACCTTGAGATGCTTCTTACGGAGCCACTCCTTAGTTGCTCTGGCTGTGTGTTTCGGTTCGTTGTCATGCTGGAAGACCCAGCCACGACCCATCTTCAATGCTCTTACTGAGGGAAGGAGGTTGTTGGCCAAGATCTCGCGATACATGGCCCCATCCATCCTCCCCTCAATACGGTGCAGTCGTCCTGTCCCCTTTGCAGAAAAGCATCCCCAAATAATGATGTTTCCACCTCCATGCTTTACGGTTGGGATGGTGTTCTTGGGGTTGTACTCATCCTTCTTCTTCCTCCAAACACGGCGAGTGGAGTTTAGACCAAAAAGCTCTATTTTTATCTCATCAGACCACATGACCTTCTCCCATTCCTCCTCTGGATCATCCAGATGGTCATTGGCAAACTTCAGACGGGCCTGGACATGCGCTGGCTTGAGCAGGGGGACCTTGCGTGCGCTGCAGGATTTTAATCCATGACGGCGTAGTGTGTTACTAATGGTTTTCTTTGACACTGTGGTCCCAGCTCTCTTCAGGTCATTGACCAGGTCCTGCCGTGTAGTTCTGGGCTGATCCCTCACCTTCCTCATGATCATTGATGCCCCACGAGGTGAGATCTTGCATGGAGCCCCAGACCGAGGGTGATTGACCGTCATCTTGAACTTCTTCCATTTTCTAATAATTGCGCCAACAGTTGTTGCCTTCTCACCAAGCTGCTTGCCTATTGTCCTGTAGCCCATCCCAGCCTTGTGCAGGTCTACAATTTTATCCCTGATGTCCTTACACAGCTCTCTGGTCTTGGCCATTGTGGAGAGGTTGGAGTATGTTTGATTGAGTGTGTGGACAGGTGTCTTTTATACAGGTAACAAGTTCAAACAGGTGCAGTTAATACAGGTAATGAGTGGAGAACAGGAGGGCTTCTTAAAGAAAAACGAACAGGTCTGTGAGAGTCGGAATTCTTACTGGTTGGTAGGTGATCAAATACTTATGTCATGCAATAAAATGCAAATTAATAACTTAAAAATCATACAATGTGAATTTTAGATTCTGTCTCTCACAGTTGAAGTGTACCTATGATAAAAATGACAAACCTCTACATGCTTTGTAAGTAGGAAAACCTGCAAAATCGGCAGTGTATCAAATACTTGTTCTCCCCACTGTACATACATACACACACACACACATACACACACACATACAACACACACACACATACATTAACCTAAATTAACCTAATCCACATGTTGTATGGCCAGATACCGTACCTCTCTAAATGAACCTCTCCAAAACTGCATGTCAAAATCAGAAGTGGGTTAATGAGAGAGGAATTGTATGTACCGCACATTCAGTTTAATTGTAAATCCCACATGAAGTGAATTATACTGCCATAGCTAATCCAGTTAGATATACAGTGGGGGAAAACAAGTATTTAGTCAGCCACCAATTGTGCAAGTTCTCCCACTTAAAAAGATGAGAGAGGCCTGTAATTTTCATCATAGGTACACGTCAACTATGACAGACAAAATGAGATTTTTTTTCTCCAGAAAATCACATTGTAGGATTTTTAATGAATTTATTTGCAAATTATGGTGGAAAATAAGTATTTGGTCAATACTTTGTTATATACCCTTTGTTGGCAATGACACAGGTCAAACGTTTTCTGTAAGTCTTCACAAGGTTTTCACACACTGTTGCTGGTATTTTGGCCCATTCCTCCATGCAGATCTCCTCTAGAGCAGTGATGTTTTGGGGCTGTCGCTGGGCAACACGGACTTTCAACTCCCTCCAAAGATTTTCTATGGGGTTGAGATCTGGAGACTGGCTAGTCCACTCCAGGACCTTGAAATGCTTCTTACGAAGCCACTCCTTCGTTGCCTGGGCGGTGTGTTTGGGATCATTGTCATGCTGAAAGACCCAGCTACGTTTCATCTTCAATGCCCTTGCTGATGGAAGGAGGTTTTCACTCAAAATCTCACGATACATGGCCCCATTCATTCTTTCCTTTACACGGATCAGTCGTCCTGGTCCCTTTGCAGAAAAACAGCCCCAAAGCATGATGTTTCCACCCCCATGCTTCACAGTAAGTATGGTGTTCTTTGGATGCAACTCAGCATTCTTTGTCCTCCAAAGTTCTATTTTGGTTTCATCTGACCATATGACATTCTCCCAATCCTCTTCTGGATCATCCAAATGCACTCTAGCAAACTTCAGACGGGCCTGGACATGTACTGGCACTGCAGGATTTGAGTCCCTGGCGGCGTAGTGTGTTACTGATAGTAGGCTTTGTTACTTTGGTCCCAGCTCTCTGCAGGTCATTCACTAGGTCCCCCCGTGTGGTTCTGGGATTTTTGCTAACCGTTGTAATCATTTTGACCCCACGGGGTGAGATCTTGCGTGGAGCCCCGGATCGAGGGAGATTATCAGTGGTCTTGTATGTCTTCCATTTCCTAATAATTGCTCCCACAGTTGATTTCCTCAAACCAAGCTGCTTACCTATTGCAGATTCAGTCTTCCCAGCCTGGTGCAGGTCTACAATTTTGTTTCTGGTATCCTTTGACAGCTCTTTGGTCTTGGCCATAGTGGAGTTTGGAGTGTGACTGTTTGAGGTTGTGGACAGGTGTCTTTTATACTGATAACAAGTTCAAACAGGTGCCATTAATACGGGTAACGAGTGGAGGACAGAGGAGCCTCTTAAAGAAGAAGTTACAGGTCTGTGAGAGCCAGAAATCTTGCTTGTTTGTAGGTGACCAAATACTTATTTTCCACCATAATTTGCAAATAAATTCATTAAAAATCCTACAATGTGATTTTCTGGAATTTTTTTCTCAATTTGTCTGTCATAGTTGATGTGTACCTATGATGAAAATTGCCTCTCTCATCTTTTTAAGTGGGAGAACTTGCACAATTGGTGGCTGACTAAATACTTTTTTCCCCCACTGTATACATTTAGCTATAAATCAATCTGAGGAAAAGGAGAGGAAGAAATGAACTGATGGTGGGTGGATGCATGGATGGAGGGAGGGAGGGAGGGAGGGAGGGAGGGAGGGATGGAGGGATGGATACATAGCAGGCTGAATAAAGGGAGGGGGTTCTGCCATCCATCTAAAGCAGGGTTCCCCAACTGGCGGCCCACCATTATTTGGCCCCCCAAGTTTTCTGAGCCCCCCAAAAAATCTATATTACTTTGGGAATTTTCATTGTTGGACATAAAAGACTGTAAAAACAGTGATTACATTTAGGAAATCTGTTCCCAAGTATTCCCACGCATAATAGTAAGACACGTGATCGTATACAAATGTATACCTCTTTCTCCTCTCCTCTCATCTCTCTCCTCTCACCTCTCTCACCTCTCTCTCCTCTCTCTCCTCTCCTCTCCTCTCCTCTCCTCTCCTCTCCTCTCCTCTCCTCTCCTCTCCTCTCCTCTCCTCTCCTCTCCTCTCCTCTCCTCTCCTCTCCTCTCCTCTCCTTGCAACGCAACAGAAACTCCCTGACCTTGGCAGCAGCCACTATAACATAAAGTAACTCCCACTCTGCCTGCCTCACTCTGGTTATTTCAGTCACTCTTTCCTATTGAGGAAGCCGAGAGAGAGGTGGAGAGAAAGAGAGAGAGAGGTGGAGGGAGGGAGGGAGTGAGAGAGGTGGCGGGGGAGAGAGAGGGGGGAAAGAGAGAGAGAGTGGGAGGGAGAGAGAGAGAGTGGGA